CCAGCGACTGTACCAGAACCGTGGGACTGGTGAGGCAGGGTCCAGGGGCGTTCGCGCCCAAGTAACTGTCGGAGAGTGTGCCAAGCAGGCACCCTCCAGTGACCTTCGGGTCACTGAGGTAACTGCTGGTGGCCTTGCTACCGTCTAGGAGTTGGTGACCGAATGGGAAGGCGTGCGCGATCGCTTCCGCGATGACGTGCCGCTGACCCATTCGGAGTTCACTCGATGGAGCGGATTGCTGCTTGACATGAAGGCTGGAGAAGTGTCGCTGGACTCGTTTCCTTGTGGTCAATTCAGGACGGCCGAATTGTTCTGTTGTTCAGTGTCGACAATCCTGAAGCTTATGCAGAAGGACTTGGACAACGGGCGTTCCTTTGCCCCGAAAAGGGTCAAGGAATACGACCCGTTAGAAGGCGTAGAAGACATCGAGCAGAGAGCGGAGATCATCGATGGATGCATTGCTGGTCGTCGAGGGGAAGCTGCGGCGGAATGTCTTATTGGCGTCACCCGCCTGGTCGCCTCTGAGCTCTTATCCCGCTAAAACGACATCGGGATAATGAGGACCATGGGGCGCGGGCTTCAACAGGCCGCAGAGTACATGATGTACGCTGAGAAGCAGGAAGTCTCGTCATCTCCTGATACTGCGGCCGCGGCAGAAGAGGACGAGATGATGCGGACGGGCGACCGTGGTGGAAGCGCTGAATCCTCCCCTGGGGAAGGCTCATCGACTCGCCAGCGAGCAGACTCGCCCGCGCTGAATCCACTGCCGGAGAGTTCTCCCCCATTGCACCATCCTGGCAAGAGGAGGGCGCCTCTGGGGGAAGAAGAGGAGAGCAACGACGAGGCCACGTTTGATGTCGGCCTCAACCATGTTGTCGCTCTCGCCAGAACCGCTAAGATCGAGGGGAGTCTGATGAACGAGGTCCCGGGCACACACCTGGAGTACCTCGTTCAGCAGATCTCCCTCTCGTGTCAGGCCCTCAGCGAGTTGAGAAGTGCTGTGCGGCCGTGCCGCAAGAAGTGGCATAACTCGGCGGACGTGGCGACTGCCACGTTGTCTATGCTCAAAGGCATAGCCGCGCAAGTGGCTGTGCTTCGAGGGGTTATAGACAAACGTCGGGGTATGGGGGTGCACAAGGAGGTGCAAATGGCGACGAAGCACCTGGAGGAGATCCTGGATGGGGAGAAACGCAGAAGAGCGTCTCTGCCGTCCAGGATCTACCAGGAAGCCTCAGCGGTGTCCAAAGCCGAGCCGCGATCACCGGAAGTAGCGCTCCCGAAAACGGCCAAGGAAGTCGGGACGCAAACGGTCGTCGAGGTCCCACCGGCCTTTATACCAAAAGGACTCGAGGAGTCGGAGAAGAAGAGGAAACGGCCCGCTGCTGTGGGTACTGCCGCCGATTCGGTCGTTGCGCCCACCGAGACGCTAACCGACCGGTTGGTGGTGAACCGGGAAAACGGCGTGGAGTCTGCAGAGGGGGATGTGGGAGCTGCTCCCGCTAAACCATCACTGTGGGCCCAAGTCGTAGGACACAAGGCGGGCACCAGGAAGAAGAAGGAGGATACGGCGGCTGAGTCTAAACCTCCGCAGACGACGTCGACGAGAAACCAGAAAGCGGTGAAACTGCGGGCAAAAGTGCCACGCACGGAAGCCGTGGTGATCGGACCACTAAAAGAGGGGCCGAAGTATGCTACGGTAATGGGCATAGCTATGGCTGCTGTAGACCTCCAGGCCCTGGGCATTCAAGTTTCCGGGACCCGGAGGACGCAGACGCGTGTCGTTCTCCTGTAGGTCTGGGGGTCGGCTGAACAAGCTGACTTTCTGTCTGCCAGTCTAAGGGCGGGCCTAAAGGAAATGGATGAGCGGGTACACCGACCTTCGATGTCCTGCACCGTCCTCCTCCTGGACGTGGAGGAGTGGCAGGAGGAACACGATGTCCAGCGAGCACTGAATGCCGCCCTGAAGTATCCAAATGGAGAATTGCCGCCGCAAGTGGGACCAATCACGGTCCTCACAAACGTCGGCGGTAAAGGGCGGTATGTGAGGTGCGAGGTGCCCCTCAAAACGGCTCATCGCCTGGCAGGCCTAGGCCGAGTCCGGGTCGGGTGGACGTCCTGTAGGCTGAGGATTCTCGACAAGGGACCTCAGTGCTACAGGTGTCTAGAACGCGGGCACATTGCCCACGCGTGCAAAGGCCCGGACAGGTCAAAAGCCTGCTTCAGGTGTAAGAAGGAGGGGCACCTTTCCAAGGACTGCCCCGGAAGCAGGAAAAAGGAAGAAGGTCGGACTCCGACCAGAAACCGCAAAGAAGAAGACGGCCTACCCCCACCTCCACGTGGTCCAACCCGGGCAACGGACCCTCTAGTGGGGTCCGGCTAACGGGGGAGGCTACGCCGTGCTGGGATTCGGCCCTAGTGTAAACTTGGGCCAGGTCACAGCGCGGTGGTAAGAAGTAGCGAAGGCGACGTGGGCCGCCCTGAAGCAATGCCCAACGGCAGTTCCAGGGCGGTCCACATTAAAGTCGAGAAGGAGGGAAAAAAAAAGAAAAGGGTTTCATCCCTCTATCTCACTCACTCACCCACCTATCGGTGTCGGTGGAGGATAAATTTTCAATAGATTATAAGAATATGGTATCTTATGTTATTTGTATAGTCCTCAATTACACAAATTATTTAACAAATTTATTAATGTAAAATATTAATTAAATCAAAAGTTACTGAATTTGTCATATCTTTATGACTCACTCTGTATATGTCGATACATACATTATAATATTTATGCAATAAGAAATAACATAATATTCTTGTATATAATATTTAAAAAATATTTTGTTTATTTTTTCAAATCATTTAAAAATCAATTTTGTAATTATTTTAATTCTTGATATATTAAAAACATATCTTAGATCAAAAAAAATCTTATACTCTCCACGAAGTATCAAATTTGTTCATTTTCATAATCTTTGAATAAGTTTTCAATCATCTCTGAAACAAAATAAAATTGTAAAAATATAAACATAACGCGAGCTTGCTTTTATTCCCAAAAATAAATATATAAAATTGAAAACACATAGAAGTTACATCGATAAGTTGGCAAACATAAGGTCTAAAAGATTGTGATTGGAAATTATTAAATGTAAGAACATTGTTTTGTTATTTTTGAGGTAGAGTTGGGTAGAACTTACTAATAACATCATACTGATAAACTGTCACTGAGCAACTAGCTTTATTATTAATGTGTATCTTACATGTCACAACATATAGTTAGTATACATATAATCTATATATATATATATATATAATATATATATATATAACAGATACTTATGATTTGTAAACACATATTAAGTATATTATTATAATAATTTTTATTCCTAAATTAATTGTATACGCCTAATATGCCATATTTTTCAAGTTTTCCTGATCAAAGAGTAGTTAAATATTTTATTAAAATAAGATGACAAATCTTGAGAGGTAACAATCGTTGATTTGCCACCTTCATGACTATCTGTCAATATAAGGGAAAGGTTTTTAAAGTTGATAAAAGTAAGTATAATATTAAGATAAAATATACCAAAAAAAAAAAAAATTTGTTAAAAAATAATATAAAAAAACCAGCACAGGGGGGTCACGGTACAGTGGTGACGTGGCATAGTTTGATCAAGTATAATGATATCTGACAATAATTAAAATCACTATCAAAATAAAACGCTTACATTAGATACATTAGAAGGTACATTACATAAGCTTTAATTTAAGATATATATAAAAGTGTCAGACTTTCCGGAACACTTTCAAAAGTTTAGTTGAAAAAGTTCTACTTTCTATATGCATTTTTTAGATTTAAACCCCCTCGTATATAGGGAAATGGTCCGATTTAAAAAAACAGTATGTAGAATGAAAGATGTATATAAATACTATTTCTCATGAAAAAATTGTATTGATCCATACATTTCTCAAAAAGTTATAGAATAATAAAGTTGAAAATGGAAAATACAAAATCGAAAATTTTCACACAAAAATAGCATTCGGTAGCCATTTTCACCGTGAACATAAGATAAAGTTTGAAATTTTTTTTTTCATGATAAAGTATATTACATTATCTTAAATTTAAGATATATATAAAAGTGTTAGACTTTCCAGAACAGTTTCAAAATTTAAGTTAAAAAAATTAATTTTTTGTGTAAAAGTTGTCATTTTAAATCCTCCCTCTGTGGGCAGATAAAGGGTCAAATTTACAAAAAAAATATATCAAATGATAGTTAAAAATATCAAACATCTATAAAAAAAAAATTTTATTGATATGAAAAAAATATACCAAATGATATTATGCATCTATATAAAAAAGAATCATATTGATATGTTCATTTTTGAAAAAGTTACGGCAGTTTTTAGTAAAAAAAATTGAAAAAAATTCTAAAATTAGCGATTTTTAAATTTGTAATTTTTTTGGAGGTTTGCCCCATTTACGGGGAACGAGGGAATTTTTTTCAATTTTTGAGGATAATTTCTTCGACTAGATACGATTTGTGATCTTTTGAGGTATCATTGAAAGAAATCGGTTCGGTGGGAGCTGAGAAAAAGTGATAACAGACACAAAAAAAAAATTTATCATAGTAAAATTAATATCTTCTCATCTTCGCATCGAAGCTAAAATATTTTATGATTCAGAAATATTCAGAATTAAAAAATGTGAACCCGGAAAACCCTTAGATTATATCCATGGTAATTTTTATAAATTTTATTAATATTTATCAAAATTTTCCCTAACATTAAAATCTTCTACATTATTTCTATTACAAACGTCATGTTTATGCCTATTAAAGTAACTAAAAATCCTTAATTAATTTAAATATAAGTATTTTAATTATATACTATTAATTTTCAGAAAATAGTCTAAAAAATAAGCGATATAAAAAAACATAACATTTTTACCATTGTAATTATTGAAAAATTTTAATAAGTACTTTTAAACTTTTTAAAAAAGTTATGATAATTACCTTTGTAATTGAATTGATTTTGGTTATTTGAATACTTATTGAGTATTTTTTCAATAAAAATGTTTGATAATTCATCTTTAAACAATCCGCTTTTCGATATAATTTCTTCTGCTTGTTTTTTTGTTACTGTTCCAGTTTTTGTTACATCAACATTAGAAAGCTCATTATAAACATCATCTTCATGGAGTAATAATGATTCAACAAGTAGTTCTATAATTTCGATTACAGTATACTTAGTACCAGCTAAGGAATTACCAAAAAAATGTCGTTAATATAAAATATTAATCTGCGCGGTAAAATAATATTAGAGCGTAAAAAAATGTTTCGCTCTTTAATAAATCTAATAATATGCATGAATACATTTATGCATAGTCCACGAAGTTCATAAAAATCTAATAACTTTTGATCTACTAAATAATTTGCGTTATTTATTTTTTTAATTTTATACAATCATAGAGTGCCTTAAAATCATATTTTTTTTTTATTTTTTTTTTTTTAATAAAAAATTAATTAAATCAAAAATTGCTGTTTTTAAAGCTTTTCTCTTTTAGACTATGTTTTAAATGAATCACTTATTTAATAATACAAAATAAGTCACAAAATTTGAAAATTAAATTTTGTAAAATGTATTTACAGAAAGATTTATAAAATTATTTAAAAGCTCAATAAGTTTGTAAATCTAAAAATATTCTACAATAATGCGGTTAAACATGTCTAGTGTCTGATGAAAATTTTAGATATAAACTTAATGTATTAATTTATAGCAGAATTTCATGTATTCTAGAAAGTCATAGTCTTCTTAAGTTATAATAGGGCCATTTTTTATTTTTTTTTTTTGTATTAACATGATGTACCTCATGGAATACATAAATTGAGAAATTTCAGTTTCAACGCAACACACCAAGGTCGTGTCTCAATTTCATGGTTCTCATTGTTGGGTACGCATTACGAGAGGGCGTTTTGCTACATCTTATTGTTATGACCGAAAACGTCTCTCGCACTACCACCACCGGTTGTGTGAGCGATTCACTGCGTTGGATGCTAGTGTACGTGATTATTGCGTCTCGCCGAACTATTATCGGTCCCTTTGGTGAGTTTTGCGTTCTCGCCACCATTGCTACGTGGTTTTATGGTTCACCTAGCTCATAGTCCCACTAATGGATTAATCACCCTGGTGATTCGTCGTGGGTGTATAATTACTATACCAGTCTACGCCATTGTGTGCCCTTTGTGTACATAACAAGTGCCTCCGTTTGTATCGACTACCTTGTAGTCTTCAACATTTTAATGTAAAGTATTCCAACTGTTCATTTCTCACCGTCATCGGTCATCTTTCATCTATTGTACGTTACACAGTTAAGTTTTTATTTGTTTGTAATTATTATATTAGATTTTATCTATTTTGTTCAGAGATGCCTTGTCGGCCATTTTAGTATTAAGTGACCCCCCCCCCCACCACAATTCTATGATAGTTTATATATATATTATTACTTAAATATATAACTCCTTGTCTTGTAATTCTTATTATTTTATTTAGTGTAAGTACCATCCTCTTATATACAGTCCACTCCCTATTTCTTTCTCCGGCATAATTAGACAACCCAACCGGACGATAACTACCCCGCACATTATAACCGGCCGTTCCATTCAAACACTTATATACATCAGCATGAGCTGTACCCACACGTCCTACATACCCCACTGTATGTATTAAAATACTTGTATCTCAATAAGAACTAAAATTGTTATTGATTTTTTACATTTTTTTTTGTATAAAAAGCTCTAATAAACAGCTAATAAAAACTTTTTTTTATAAAAACAAACAATAAAAAACGATAGCACTGTGGGGCTGTGGCACATTATGGACGTGCCATAGTTGGGACAAGTATAAAATCACTATCATGAAAAACGCTTCGATGCAAATCTTTAGATAGTGTATAATTTTAAAAAATTGGTGGATTATTCCAAAACCAAAATTAACACCTATTTCTTTAATTATATCCTGATTAGAAGTTCTTTGATTTATAAGTATTATTTAAAATTTCATCGACACTGATCTATACTTATCCCAACTGTTGCGTGCCCACTACTGTGATATCGTTTTTTTTTTATAATTAATTCTCTAGATGAATTTAAAGTTTTATATCTATCAAAATAAAACAAGTCTATTTTGTTTGGTCCGGCATTCATCACATTTGTATAACTCTTATGTGTATCGGTGTGCTAATCACTGTGGCCTCCACTTGTATCACCTAGTTTTACATTTTTTAGAAATTAATAACAGTGTAAAATTAAAATTGAAAAAAATGTGCACAAAGAAAGTTTCTAATTAGATTTTTATAGATTTCTCAATCTCTTTATCATAACTTCAGAAAACGCACAAAATTAAAAAAAAATTGCTTTTTAAAAGTTATAAAAGTTTAAAGTCAAAATAAATATTTTCAAAAAAAAAATTATGACTCTCTAACCACCCCTTTCTTAATACGCTTATGCATTTAATACTAATTTCTTAAAAACACATTTAAATACGTTTTTATTCAACAATTTATTAAAAAAATTTTCCTTATATTTCTTATTTGAGTCAAATAATAAAAAAATATGCTTTTATCATAGTTAAAAACTGTAAAAATTATAAAAAAAAGTACAACGTAGATGTTTTCAATGAAAACTTTTCACACTCACATCTCTAATTATAGTGCAAACAACAAAAAAAATTAACACGACTAGATCCAATGCCAATTACAAACAACCGGCATATCAGACCGTCTAGTTTAACGAAAGTAACTAAATGTCTTGAGCCTTTAAGAAGTGTTAAAGTCAGGTCAAAAATTATTGAAACCAATGATAATAAAATATTAAACCTACACTGTAATGTATAATAATACTTTTAGAGTCGTTTAGTTACGTTACAAATTCTTTTAATTAAAAATGATATACGTATAATAATTATTATAATTATCATTACAATTCAGTGAAATTAGTATGAGTTTTATCAATTCATACTCATAAAACCGCATACTACGTAATATTCTGAATTAACAAGTTCTTCAGATAAATTAGTAAGTTATCAAGTTCTATTCTAATATTTATATATATACATATATAAATATTAATTCGTATAATAGTATGAATTCATGATTAAAAAAATTAAATTTTAATTACCTGGTATAACACCTGAATAGTGCTTCAAATTATTGTCAAATTTCGTAAATTCTAAATTAAAATCACTTTTGAGTTTTCTCAAGGTATCAAGCCTTATTAGTCCATTAACAGCATTCTCATATAATTTTATTTCTACTAAATGTGCGTTAATAGCTGTTAAGGGAAACTAACAAAAATTCATGATAAGTCATTTATTTGTCTATAATAATTATTAAAATAAATTAATAAATATTTATAAAAATTAATAAATTAATTAAAAGTATATAGTGTGTCCCACCAAATGTTGATAATTTATTAACTTTTGATACAGCGAATATTATTTCTACTTTTTGAAGTGAAACTTGTTTATAGAGGATCCGCGGTCGGCTGTAACATTTGGCCGTCACGGACAGATTCTATTATTTTATTAGGAATACCGTCAAAAAGCGATTGTTCGATGTACGAATAATTCCAATAACACGTATAAATTTGATAAAAATAAGTATTCCATAAACGTTTACGTTCCACGATTGTTTGTAATTTATTATAAAATAAATAAATAATTTGTATTTTTAAATTCATACAACTAATTCAACTTAAATGTATGTTGTTACATAAGCTATTGTTAAAGCTGTTAAAAATTTAACAATTTTTCTGGACAAGTACATTAGCTTTAATTCTTATTTTTATACTTAGATGGGATGAAGAGTACGGAAGGAAAAAGACTAGTCATAAAAATGGCAGCACCTACTCCTCGCATCCAGTCATTACTTAAAATTATTAATAACTTCTTTAATCCAAAAGTTATTATCGATCAGTAATTTTCATAATTAGATGATTTCCTATTTTGTAAGCTAGTAAAACATGTATGTTGCCATTTAAAAACATTAAGTTAACACCCCTTTAAGTTATAAAAGATGATTCTAAAAAGTAATTATTAGCTGATAAATAAAGAATGATATGTAAATAAAAGCCATCAAATTTCATTTTTCCAATATTGTATTTATTTTGCGAGCAATCGAGTAGTTTATGATAAACCGATCAATTTGTTTGTACTTTTATTAATAAATAGTAATAGTTAATAAAGCATATTTTATATTATAATGTAGCACTGCATTTTCGAAAACTTAAGTAATTTTATTTAAAATGCATTAGACCATTTGATTTCAAATGATTTTGATTGTGCATACAAATATTTTAAACAACCACAATAGATACAATTTTCAAACGATACCTTCATAATGTTCAATCAAAAATTTACATAATTTATTTCAGTTATCATAAGCCTATTATATCGTTTGTGACAGTAAAATAAGAAAATTAATAATTATAATAATATATTTAATTAATTTTAATTGAAAATAAAATGTTTAATTCTTTTATTTTATTCCAATAAAAACCTTATATTCTATTAGTACTATGAAAGAAGTTTCACTTCCAGGGACATGTATCGCGAGTGCAGTTGCAGGAGTTATGCAATTTAATAAGATTTTACGACTCTTGATTTTAGTTTTGATGCAAAGCTGACAGGGTATATTTTTGTGACTATCATTTATTTTCTCTGCTCTAACTTGACCTATTTTTTTCAGTTACTTATCCCACGTTCTCCATACAGACAATTAATATCATTCATTTCTAATGTTTTCAAAGTATTTATTGACGAATCAAGTTTTATATGATAATTTGATATAATAGGTTTCAATTACAAAATTAAATGATTTTACTTTGTAATTTAATAATTTTTTTACTCTATTTGTGTGTGCTACCACTAGACTATAATATTATATTTATTCTAGACTATAAATCATTAAAATTAATTCAGTTCATATTTCAATTGTAGAATCTTTTTAAAAACCAAAAGTTACTAGGAAATGATTACTATGATTTTTATTTGAGTGATCTATTACAATAAAAATGCAAAAATATCGAACTTTTCTGATAAATTTACCATAAATAGTAATTACAAAATTTCCTGACTGCATATTAATCATAACGATACAATTCTTTTAATTCTCATAAAATTGTCTATTTAATGTATTAAATTGACATAATTTCAAACTTGCAAATTGAGCTAAAAGTTATGCAGTAAATTAATTTTTTTTATTATAAACTTTCATAAAAATCAAATTTAAAATATTATAAAAATAGGTTAATTGTGTCATTTTCCTTATATTTAACATATTAATAATCAAAATCAGTTTTCATTTTAAACAATTTTTTTTTGTTCTTAATTATTTTTTTATATGCAAATGCTTATTTTTTAATAATATGTAATAATATTATAATAATATACAACTGCATTATTATTTTTATAATATCTCCATAAAAATTACAATATTAAATTATTGAATATCAATTTCATACTGAATTTAATTACTATAATTATTATTTATTCATATATTATAATTATAAATCATATAACTAACCGGGATAAAATTAAGGGAATAAGAGTTATTGTTGCTTTTGAATCTACAAATCTACAATTTTTTTAAAATTAAACACTATGTACAGATTTGCATTCAAGCATTTCTTATAATAGTGATTTTAATCACTCTCCGATATCATCTATACTTGTCCCATCTATGCCACGTCCAAACTGTGCCGTGACTCCACTATACTACCGTTATTTTTTATTGGTTGTACTATATATAAAAAATAATGGGGGTTTATTTAAAATTAGACTGTTTGATTGTTGGGCGCCAAGCTTTATTAGCTCAATTAACAATTTTTATACCGATGGTAAATTCAAATGAAAAATTCATGTTGCACACATTTAATTGTGTCTAGGGTAACAATCAATAATGTTAAACGGTAATATTTTAAATTATTTGCATAGCAATATAATTTCATAATTCCCAAAAATAATTGTCTTATAATTTATTTGAAATCTATCCTTAATATTTTATGACATTCTTAGAGTATAATTTCATACCTTGCTGTTATCGTCGCGAATCGTGTTTAGTATACACTCCTTTAAAAGTAAAATCACTGATTTTAATTCATTAAATTTATGATATTATAAGAATAATTACTTAAAGTGCTATTTTACTCGAAAAACAATAAATATACATGTTATTTAAATATTTTTAATAATCTTTAAATTTTTAATGTGTTTAAGTAAAATATATAGAGTTTTCAGTAAGTAAGAAAACGGATTTCTATTGTTCTCATCATTTGTAACAAATAATCTTTTTTTAAAGTACAATATTACTGAGAGAGTCAGATAAAAGACACCAAGTGTAAAACTTTCCATGTCAGAGAAGGGCACAATCGCGAAAAAGTCTGGTGCAGAGACGCTTCATGACCAGATTTTTAGAAAAAAAAAAATAACGTGTCGAATAATTTAGAAACCGCTCTTTTATAGGCCTGTGTCTGATGGGGATAATTATGATTTTGGATTTAATTTAAAGACAATTCTTATAGGTTAATCAATTAAACTTAAAGAGACATGTACGTAACCTATTTATTATTTTATGATTTAAATTAATTTTATATAACGGTCTTGGTGTTTTGTATCTATAATCTCCCGTAGAATGGTGTTTATTGAAATCATAATTATTTAATTATAAATACAATAAAATTGTAATTGTTAATTATCTATTACAGTATAAAAGAAGGTACTCAAGCAACTATTAATTATAAAATAATAATTATAATATAATAAAAAATAGTAATTGCTAATAATCTGTTAAGGTATAAGAGAAGATACTTAAGCAACTAAATAATTGTAATAAGAGAATAAAATAATATCAGTAGTTATAAATACTAGTCTTTTTGTATCATCATTTCCAGTTGAAAACGTAGGTATGATAATTACACACACAAAATAAAAATAGAAATCCATTTTCAAGGATTATAATAATTGCAGCAGTAATGAAAATCTAGAACTGACAATATAACTTTAAAACGCGAATAATAATTTTTATTAATAAATAATTTGCGTTTATATAGAACAATTCAGTCAATTTTGAGTAATCTTAAATATGGTAGAACAACAATCTATTTACAAAAACGATATTTTATTTGTAAGCACTAAATATAGTAATTGTTTTAATCAAATTCAATTGACACGTTTACACATGATGTACGTCAATAAAAATTATTCATAGATTATCGCAGAAAAATTTTATTTACTCATTTTGAAATGAAATATAGCATAAAATAAATATAGCTAAAAAGCGTGTTTTTAGTTTTTTTTAGTTATATTTATTTTTCACTTTTTAGTTTCATGTTATGATTGTAGTTACTATCAATATCATGGTTGTAACGGGTAACGGGAAATCAGGTTTCGATTCCGGGGAGGGAGACTGAGAAACGGCTACCACATCTAAGGAAAGCAGCAGGCGCGTAAATTACCCACTCTCGGAACGTGGAGGTAGTGACGAAAAATGACGATACGGGGATCATCCCCCGCAATCGGAATGAATACACTACATATCTCTTAATGAGGATAAAGCGTATTAATATATAAGTTTTAATAGTAATTAGAATATATATACAAGTAAAGCAACTTAAGTTCGTAAACGTATCATTCATGAGGTATAGCCGTGTTTTATGGGCGGGGGGAACATTATACACGAGGCATATACGGCGGCAGCGGCGTCGGCTGTAGGAATATATAAATGAATATTAACATATACGTATATATAAATATTAATATGTATATATATATATATATATATTAATATTAGCGGCGGCGGTAGGAATATATAATCTTGGCATAATATCGCGGCACTTTCGCTGGCGTCAACAACGCGATGTCCGGCGTGATCCTCGAGCGTCAAAAGGTTAGCAGCGTAGATGACGACGGTGAGCGAGTGCGGATCAGTTTGTCGACGTTGTCACTTTGACAACAGGAAGAAGACTACGGTATCATTTGCGGCGGGACGATGACGGCCGTGCGGCATTTGCTGGTCTTTGCACCACGGCGTATAACGCGAGATGTTGGTCAGTCAAATACTTATAAAATAGGGCGACGGCTGATAAAAGTGGCACGAGTCGTGTATAACGAAGCAACGCGGGACCTTGTCAGTCAAAAATAAAAAAAATTGATATATATATAATTGATGACTCGCACGCGTATACGGGTACGAAAACCGAAAATAAAATTATACAGGAAAATAGTTTTGTCGGTGAGTGGTGAATACGTTACGACAGGATAGTCTCTAAGCCATAGACGACGGGATAGGCGAGATAATGATGAGTGACGAGTGGTGAGTTACAAACAACAAACAACATACATGTGAAACTATTGTATGCGTGTTAAAAATATAGTAATGTTTGCGAACTTTTAATCAAAATATTTTTTAGTATACTCACTAAACAAAGACAAATTTTTCGAAAATAATTTAAATGATCACATGTGTTTGTTTTAAATCGCACTTAAACGTCCTTTTTTGCAAGAATGATATATTGTTCTTTTACAGCGTGTGGTTTTAACATGGGTGTGAATAAATAAATAAAACATTTTTATTGCGACAGCTAAAGAAAATCATCACGAAAAAAAATGATTTGAAAATTTAAGTCTTATTCTAATTAGGAAATTTTAAATAAAAAAACCCAGCACAGTGGGGTCGTGGCATAGTTGGGTAACCCAACTTGGGTTCAGTATAGATGATATCTGGCAGTGATTAAAATCACTATCATAAAAAACGCTTGGATGCAAATCTGTAGATAGTGTAAAATTAAAACTATATTAAAAATATTATAAATTTAAAAAACTAAAAAATATTAAACTCAAAACCACAAAAAATTAATGAAAAGTCGTGGATATGTATTTCGAAAACAATTTTACCATTATCAACGCTAAACATATACTGACACCCCGACTAGAAAAAACTCCCTTATATACCCCTAGTGACCTTATCACCCAGGGATGTCATCACTAAGTAATATTATCACATTTTGTCAGTTTAATAATGTTTAATAATGTTGTTTCACTGTAGATAGTGTTTAATTTAAAAAAAAAAAATTGTCAAAAATGTAGGTCAAGTGAGAGCTGAGAAAATAAATGATAGCTACAAGAAAAACTACATACTAAAATAATATTTATTATGAATTTCTTCTCACGAGAGGAGACTACAGTAATTGGATCCTTGATATTTATTGAAGTTATTGAATCTAAATGAGATAAAAATCAAATGAGTTAAACATTTTATTCTAATTCAAAAAGAATGAAGAAAAAATTCAGTGCCACAGGCATGAAAGACCGAAGTGTTACCGTCTCAGAAACTGAACGTTTCATTCATCACTTAATAAAAATGAAAATTTAGCTAGTTCAAATTTTAAAGTTATTTTTCTCGACTTCAAAGAAACAAAAAAATTAAAATATGCTTCATTTTTTATACTATATCAATTAGATTGAAATAATATTTATGAAAATCAGTGTAATCCCCTTATAATAAAATACAAAACTAAGAATTTTAACACAAAAATAGCATATTTTTGAATACGGTAGCTATTTTCACCATAAAGACAAAATAAAGTCCAACATTTTTTTTTTTTATATTAAAGTATATTACATAAGCTTTAATTTAAAATATATATAAAAGTGTCAGTATTTCTTGAACACTTTCAAAAGTTAAGTTGCAAAAGTTAATATTTTGTGAAAAAGTTTTTATTTTAAATACCCTTATATGGGCAGATAAGAGTTAAATTTATAAAAAAAATACATCAAATGGTAGGAAAAGATATTATACATCTATAAAAAAATTTTTATTTATTTGTTCATTTTTGAAAAAGTTATGGTAGTTTTAAGTAAAAAAAATTGAAAAAATTAGCGATTTTTAAATTTGTAATTTTTTTGGAAGTTTCCCCATTTACCGGGAACGAGGGAAAATTTTTCAGTTTTTGAGGGTAATGTCTTCGACTAGATACGTTTGTGATCTTTTGACGTATCGTTGAAAGAAATCATTTCGGTGAGAGCTGAGAAAAAGTGGTAACAGATACAAAAAAAAACACATAATAGTAAAACAAATACCTTCTCTGCTTCGTATCAAAGCTAAAATTTAGTCAAAGAATATTTTATTTATGTTAAATAGTGAATTATCTGTTGAATTTTAAAGTTTATAAAAATTTGAATTACATAATATAAATTTAGAAAAGGATAGAAGAAAACGAAATCTTTTCATGCTAAATATTAATTATAAATAAATGAAAGAAAAAAAAATGCAGCATTTAATCTTATCTTAATCAATAATCTTTAATTATCATATCATAAGAATATTATGTTATTTATTATTGAATTAATATTAAAATGTATGTATCGATATATACAGAGTGAGGCATAAAGATATGACAAATTCAGTAATTTTTGATCCAATTAATATTTTCCATTAATTAATTTTCTAAATAATTTTTATACTTAAGAACTATACGAATAACATAAGGTATCATATTCTTTTAATTTATTTTTAAAAAAATAACAATTTAAAAATTATGAAAAATTCAAAATATCTTATTGTAGAGTAGATTTAAAAAAAAAAACCAGCACAGAGGGGTCGCGGCACAGTGGTGACGTGGCATAGTTGGATCAAGTACAATGATATACGACAGTGATTAAAATCACTATCAAAAAAAAAAACGCTTCGATGCAAATCTTTAGATACTGTTTAATTTTAAAAAAATTGGTGGATTATTCCAAAAGCTACATGATCTGCTATTTTCTTATTAATATCCTTATTGAAAAAGGGATTATTAAAAAATATTATTTCTCATAAAACAATTGTGTTGTTACATACACTTTTCAATAAGTTATAGCATTATAAAGTAAATAATAAAATCAAGAATTTTCACACAAAAATAACATTGAGTAGCCATTTTCACCACGAAGTCCAGGGGTCAAATTTTTTTTTTTCATAATTAAGTGCATTACATTAGCTTTAATTTAATATATATATATATATATGTATAAACAACACGTAATGGAAGTGGAGGATGGTGCACTCCCTACATAAAATTTAAAATAACATTTAATTGCAAATTTACTTTTTAGTGGTCATTAAAAAAAGGTAATATTTCTTTTTATAAATAAATATAAAGGATTCTAATGAAAAATAATAAAATTGAAGACAAATTTTGTTTTTTCAGTTTTATTTTCCGATTTCAAAAAATGATAAAAAATGTTGGCCGTCTGACCGATCAACGCTACTTCGCGATTAGGTTTTACCGCGTACGCCAAAAGGCGCAAACCGATATCGTCATGTTAGATGCGACAGTCCGTAGAGCACACGAAAAACCCACTTTTTTATATTAATGGACATTGTATACTATATCATTGATTATAGTAACTATAATCAATGACAACTGTTGTTGTGGGCTTCACGATGTGCACAGTGCGATGAATTCTCGTCACACATTTTCGGCAGCGACCTGCTCGTGTCGACAGTTTTGACGAGTTCCATTGTATACTATGTGTCTATTAATTATTAATAGGTAATAGCCTTTATAAAGTTCCACCCGAAAGCAATAGTGTGTAGGTACAGAAATATAATAATATCGGATATTATAATACTTCTGTTAAGAAGTTTTATCAGATTATTAGATTGGTGTAATACCTACACTTTCATGTATTCTTTTCACAGTTTCGGTTTTCGTCTTGGAAACGATTATACTCGAACGTTATTACATCGTTTATTTTTCAAAATAAATAAAAAATTGAGGACGTTATCCTCAATTTTTGAGGATAATGTCTTCAACTAGATAGGTAGGTCCTTGCGCCTTTATTAGAATGGAATACTTCTTTCTTTATTGTCAGGAAAATAACTAGTTGAAAGGTTACCAGTAGTTTTGTCATATAATAATGTAGAACAACTACTCAATATGTCTGAAATTTCTTTTGGTTCGGGGGAATGTCAAGCAGCAGCTGTCTTTGCAGCAATTAAAATGGGGTTTAACTGAAAAAGTAAAATCTTACTTTTTAAATCATTAGTAATCTTAAAATTGCCTTTTATTAACAAAATA